TCGAATTAGTGGTGTTTTGATGATTAGACGAAGAAAGAGCAAAAAAAAAAGAAAAAAAAAAGAAGATAATACGGATTCATTTGATATATCAATCTAAGAAACAATCAGAACATCTTATACTTAATTTATGTGTATAGAATAATATGGGTGTTAATAGAAATTAAAAATTAAATATTGATGAAAAATAAATAAATATCTTAATTTTATAAACATTCTCTATCTAAGGGGGGTGATCTAATTTATATTATGAGCATTCTCACTTACATGTAGATGGTAGGTATATAGCTCAGTCTAACACGTAAAATAAGTAATCAGAGATTATATATTTTTACCCTAGTGAGGATTAAAAAGTCCTAAATGTTGACTCTGAGGTTGATCGTGCGACGAACTAAGGGGATAGTGACCTATTCCGAAGTGTGTGTCTCGATAAGTCAAAGGGTAGATCTACTATAATTGGAATTTGAATGTTGCCCAATCTTCCAACATGTAGAAGAAGATTGAGATCTAAGATGACAGCTAAGGTGGTGGAATAACGAACGGCTCAACCATCTACTAAGGTGGTGGAATAACGAACGGCTCAACCATCTACTAAGTTGGTGGAATAACTTCCGCTAATATGGATCAACCACGTGCTCAACTACTTAACTTAACTAAGACAGTTTTCTGTTACCCTATAAGAACCATCATAAAACAAATCTAACCGGTTTAGAGTTGTCTGTCCCTCGTCTGCTGCAAATACATCTTTATCTTAGCGTCTGCAAAACAAAACAGACAAGTTGGAAAAAGAAGCAATCTCTGTTCGTATTGGATTTGATTTAGCAGCAAGGAATAAATATTTGTTATAAAACAAGCGTTAGTACATTTGCATTGCTCATCATGTATAAATCCGCCTGCCTAAAATTAATGAGGTTACTCTATCCTTCTCTTGCTAAAGGCCGCCGAGATACTCTGATAAAGGAGGAAGACAATGGGTCCTCATGCCCTTTTTTTGTCCTTCTTTGTTCCCTGAAGCTTCCTCCACTTGAGGACGATCTGCAAGGAGAGACCTGAGAAGACCATTACCACACTCGCCCACTGCTTCTGCGACAAGGGATTGCCACTTATCACAGAGGACACAACGATACTGACAAATTTGCGGGTAGTCGTTATGGTTGTGTTAGCAAGAGAGCCAAAGCGGCTTATGGTCAAGAAGATGAAGTTCTGTCCCACCGCACCACAGAGGCAGTACATGAGGATGTCCCATGCCGCCTCCGGGTGCTCCTGGCAGAATCTTACCGCCTCATAACCACTTCCACGGGGCCAACCAAACATGTAAATGACATTGTATATGCTGCCCCATAGGTTCATTCCCAACATAATGTCCCAAGCACTCGTCTTTGGGTACCTGCAAGAAAAAGCAAACGATTCTACTTAAAAACCACGAAAATTTAACTTCATGCAATTTTCAGCGCAAAGTATGATTCTAGTATATGCACTAGTTTTTGTTTCTTTTTTGGTGGAACCCAGTGAGCACCTTGCTTTGATAGAGTCCTGAGTAGCATTTGTAAAACCGTCGAAAGCTAAATTCAGAAAGCACAGCCCATAGCCAAGAGGAGCATTTGGGTGAGCAAGCTTGCTTATAGTCTTCGAGCTAGTCTGTAATGAACCAAAGAAAACATGTTTGCGTTATCACAGCAAATCCAGAATCTAAATCCAGACGTATACAAGCCAAAAAATTTATTGACTACTACACTATTGTGGTAGTTCACAGGCCTGGGCAAACATCGTTGGTTGCCCATCACCACAACCTAAAGCGAAGCCCGATGCTTTGACAACTAATATATGCAAACCTTGGAGTCTGGTATTTGAAGTTATGAGCATGTTATTACTCATAGAACGAAAGTTCTGCTAGATAGATGCTTAGTAATTATTAAACATAGATACAAGTTCATCAACCCATCAAAGCATAAAATTAAGCACATCATATCAGTAAGCAAGCCAGCAGGTTACCTATTTCAGTTACATGAAGATCTTCAAAACTTTCACTCAGAAAAGAAAAATACGAATAGTCTAACCTTCAAAAGTGCAAATGATGACACCCCTCCAGCAACAAGGAAGGTGCAAATGTACTCTGGGATAGTGTATTTGATCCCATAAACAAGCGTGCCCATCAGCATAACTGTGAGTAGGCAAAAATTACAGTTGTTACCAAGGGCAGTCATTAGAGGAAGAAAAAGACCCTAATTGTATTTAACTTAACCAGCCATTCAAATATCATATGAGAAATAAGTCTTCAGTTACATTGTACTAAGCAATAGATAAATGACTAAGACACGTATTTCCAAGTTGATTACATTAAAATATAGTTTGTCTTTTCTTGGCTCATTAACATAAGACAGTTGAAGCATATCTCACACAACCCGGAATCATAAAAATTTAAATGATTTCTACTTTAAGAATCTGTTTGTCGGCATGTTTTCAGCCATCAAAAGGCATACGACTTCTAAATCTATATGTTAATGCAAATGAGATCAGCCATTAAACAAACGGCATAGAATTTTTCAATCTTATGAGGACTTGTTCCATCGGTATATATTCAATGGGTATTATGCACCAAATATAAAACTTTAAGTTCTTGTCAAGCAGAATCATGTTAGCCTTTTATGAAAATAAAACTAAATACTACACTTACCAGGAATCATCTTGGTAGATTTTGCCAAAACCTGTTTTACACAATGAACAAAATTGGTACAATTTAATCAGCTTAAATAAAACCACCTGGAATCAACAAGTAATTTTCAAAAAATTAAAAGTTCATCACACACATTATGTAGCTAAAAGGATGATGATAACCGCATGAAAAGAGAAACAATAGAATATAAAACATGTGAGATGATCATGTGTGACATAATACATAAAACCACTAAAAAACAGTGTGTTCATGCAATTTATTCTACCTTTGCTGATGTCGCTAAAGTACCAAAATATAATTTGTTATACAGGGATTGTCAAGTTGCCAACTCTTAGTTGTCATAAACAAGTACGATTGGCTTGTGGAAGAAATTCTTAAATCAAATCCATTTAACAGTTGTAGACAACATAACCTGCCGAACTTGTGAGTCAAAGGAGAGGGCATGTCAATGTCATGGAAGAGTAAAATGCAAGAGGCAGACTCTATCCATAGCCTTGTTTATTGCAATTATGTCTTTTTGTTCTAACACTTATCACAACAGTAATGTAATATCTTAAAATTCCCAAATGATCAGGCACAACGAGGGAATCTATCATTATAGGTAGAGCAAAAAACTCTCCTTGTATCTGTTATAGTGACTACAGAATGACACACTTTAAAAGCAAGGAATTGCCCAATTTGAAGACCACCAACACAAGAGCTCTGAAGTTTGGAAGACATTGCATTTAAGATCATTGTTCTGTCATAAGCAAGATCGAATTAACAAGTAACATACTATCACAAGGAATATCTTGGTTTACTAGATATTTACTTTGAAAAGAATTAAGTGTTTAATACACAAATAATTGATCAAGATTGAACAATCAACATCTAACCACAATATCCTTAGCTTAATTAGTTGGAATAACATGTCAAAACCAACAAGTCAACTATCTGAAAATGAAAATCTATCCAGTGTCAAGCAGAAAAAAGAAAACTTGCCTGGGCAGGATAACTGATGTACTTCAATGCTTCAATTCCCATGGAAGGACCGATAGTATTAGTAATGCTTGGGCTCCAGTAACTCCACAATGGAGCTCCCCCGGAAGAGCTCCTAGACCACAGCTTTATCACTGCCCGATCAACGACAGCAAAGCAACTCGATTCAACTAACCTTTGATACCATCACCAAACAACAACAAGCCTAACCGACAATTTACTTACTGATCAAGGACCACACGAAGCAAACAACGTTCTGCGCCAGGTTCAAGAAGGAGAGGTGCTCGAACCGCTTCCCGTCTGGTCCGAATAGCTTGGTAGATCTAAGAAACAAGAAAACGTACCTCCATTACGAAACCCTAGCACAGGGCACAAGATCCAGATCCAGATGCTTGTTCGACTAGGAAAGGACCAATTTGGTGCGGAATTAAGCAACAAGAGAAGAAAAGAATATGTCCGGGTAACGAGGGAAAGCTGCTTACACAGTTTCTTGAAGGACGCCCTGGTAGATGTAGGCAGACCAGATGCCGGCGACGCAGAGGGCCAGCAACACGACGCGCTCGACCCCAGCGGCGGCGCCGTGGCCTTCCATTTCCCCGCGGAGGATCTCGCCGCGCGCCCGATCTCACGGTGGGTGCGCGAGGATGAAGAGGAGAGGCGGCGGGGAGTCGAACTCGAGAGGAGACGACGAGGGAAACCTCGACGATGAGGAAAAGGTAGATGGATTGATCGTGGACGTCGGGCGGTTCGGTTAAGGCGGAGGGGCGGGGAAGGGGAGCTACGTCAGATCTTCCACATGGCGAATTTTCATTGGCTTCTCATATGAGGGTGCGATCTCATTGGTATGTGAGACGTGGCCAGCGACAGTTGTCTTTGGTCTTCGCTCTCCGAACGGACCGAATCGCACCTGAAAGCAACAGGGGTGATGTGGCCACTCAGAGCGCCTCGTATGTTTGGGTCGCTGATTACGTGACGTGCAGCGTACAATGTATTCTTGGTAGGGATAAACACGGGTGCCACATCATGGATGACGTAGAAAGCTGCGTCTATTCTATCTCAGATGGGTTACACTTGTCTAGCTGGATCTGACCTCCAAGGATATGCTCCAACAAAGATGACGTGGGATCCCTTCTGATTTCGTGACACGGTCATCTCACGCAAGCAACATTTTTTCGGATAAATATTTAGCACGTGGAACATAAACTCGATTAATTACTCTTATTTTCTTTTTCTCTTTTTTTTAGGACCTCGGAGTGGATACAAATCCTGTATCCTGCCTCATTTGGTATAGGTGTTCCAAATCTGCGCAGGGTCGGGGTGTCCAGGTTCCAACCGATGGCCATCATCGGGCAGCCGTTGTTGCATCCGCTCCCCGGCCCGCTTTTAAGGTTGCGTCTTGGATTATAAGGGTGAATCGATGGCAACATCTCCAACCAACTCAGCAATGGAAGCATTCGTCGCGAGACGATCTCCGGCCTTCCTCCTCTCCTCCCACTCTTCGCTTCGATCGCCTTCTTCGGTCATTCGACGATGTCGGGTTTCGTTCTCATCATTCCCCTCCCGGTCTCTCCCGCGCTCGCGGAGCCCCCAACCCTTCCATCATCGAACCCTACCCCCCCACCCCTTCTCCTACGGCAACAGGAATCTTTGTATGGCCCTTCAATCCAGGACAAATCCTGTTGCGGGAACCCCTACCAAGGTCTCTCTCTCTCTCTCTCTCTCTCTCTCTCTCTCTCTCTCTCTCTCTCTCTCTCTCTCTCTCTTATTAGAATCATCTCTTTTATCACTTGGAGTCACGAGCTATCGAGAACAGACCCATGCTCCTGCTTTCTTTGAGAGCTAAGATTTTGAGCTATGAATCTTTGTTGTCTGTGATAGTAGCGGTTTTCATGCGGCCGAAGTACGCAACTTTTTTCTCCCCTAATTTTCTTCTTTATTTGGGTTTGCGTTTGTTCTTTGAGTCCATGATTCTTCAAAGGGTCCTATATTTTGCAATTGTGGATCGATTCAAGAACGTCATTGTGACGGTAACTATATGCACTTACCAGATTGATTACAGTTTTGGCAATTAGTTTCGCATCTTCGAACGAATGAATCATGAACACGACTTTGTTGGTTCCCTGCCGAGATGTGGCAGAAATTTATTTTATTTCTTCTGGCTGTTGTTTGAATATCAAGACTAATCATGCCTTTTTTATTTCCCAACTCATCCCGGGAGTGAATTGCCTGTGTGGTTACTGGTCATAACCTTTATTAAATTTGGTGTTTTTCCACCGAAACTCTTAGCTAACATTTATTTTTTATGTTTAACCTGTTTAACATTTTTCAGTCATTAAATTGAAAACTTCAGAAAATCAAAAACACTAAATTTTATGCCATTTTGGGCCACAATTCACAAAGGCTATTAGCTTCATTGTTTGATTAGCTCTTTCCAATGATAAATCTGCAAATTCTCCCCATTTTTGTCTTGTTGAAAGTACCAAACTTATAAAAGTTTGATCTTGTATTGGCTACAGGATGATGAGTTATTCCTTAGGACAATGATCTCAGGCATGGAGAAGGTCTACTTAAGCAGAAATCCTACTGCTAAGGCCATTCTGGAACTTGTTAGGAAGGATGATGGGGATCATATCTGCTATGATCATTTTGCTTTTCGAACTTTTGGGGTACATTCTACCATGTGCATTTATTTGCCTGAATTGTTTATCTCATTACCATAGTGATCAACTGATAACTACTAGGACTGTGGATCATGCTTATTGTGCTTGGCTAATGCTCCATGACTTGTTTTTTCTGTCCTTAAAGGTAGATGGGTATGGCATTGATTCCATGGCTAAGATATTCCTATACTTTGGTTATAAGCCACGTGAAGAATTGAGATTTCCTGCAAAGAAGCTGAAAGCATTGTGGTTTGCTCCTCCAGATACTGGATACAGTGAAAATGGAACTGGTGTTCATGGGCCTTTGCCAAGGATATTTATATCAGAGCTTCTTGTGGATCAGCTAAGTTATCAAAGTCAGGTTAGGTTTCTATATTTTTTTGTTGGATGTGTAGCCATTTTCGTTATAACAAAAGTGCTGTTCTCCTTCTCATGTGCTTAACTCTTTAAATATTTTAATCAGTGAAATGAGATAGGCAACATTTATGTTGATAGGCAGTTATATGAAGATGACAACTATAATGACAATGCTCTAGAAAAAGATTGGTTGGGACCTAGGCACACCTAGGTGCAAAATAAAATTTTGATTCAAACAATAAAATCAACCTCTGAATCGAAACTCATCTATGGTATCTAGATAACAGTTGTTTTTATCTTTTGGCTTATTTGCTTAAATAGTAGAACATGTGTTCATTGCAATATGTATGAAAATGAAGATGAGGTTCATGTCTTTGAAGAAGAAGCTTGCTACAGTAGCAATGCAACATTTAAAACAAAGCAAGAATAAAGAAATAGAATGAAAAAAGGGTTAAGGTTCATTTTAGCCCCTGTGGTTTTGGTCATGGACCTCTTAAGCCTTTATGGTTTACACATATCTAAAATAACCCCTATATTTTAAAAAATATAACATATAAGCTCCTCTTATCAAGTCTGAGTTAACAGATGTTAGAGTTTGCTTACGTGGCATATTGACTCACAATAAACCATTAATATAATGACACGTGTAATTTAAGTTTTAAAAAAATTGAGGCCTCCATCAATGGTGGGAGGAGGCATCGTCGTGGAAGCGACCACCAGCAGCAGCACCGAGCTGCTGCTGCCTAGTAGGGCGTCGTACGCATGCAACCTCTCCCGCACTGACGACGAGCACAGGAGCTTCCGGTCCTGCCTTAGGTGGATGTGCGTCAACCAGTCCGATGCTAGGCACGTAGTGGTCTCCTGGTCCCTCTTCCTCCTCCTGGGCGTCTTCGTCCCCATCACCTCTCACTTCGTCCTCTCCTGCGCCCCCACCCGCCATGCCTACGACACGGTGGTCCAGCTCTCCCTCACCTCTGCCTCCGGCCTCTCCTACCTCTACCTCTCTACCTTTATTTGCCACTACGGCCTCTGCTGCTTCCTCTTCCTTGATAAGCTGGTCGGGGAGAGTGAGCGGGTGCGGGAGGGCTACATGGACCAGCTCACTCGCTAACTCTAGGGCGCATGCCACCGCGTCACCCACCATGGCGCTGCCCGCCACCACGAATGACACCCGCTCCGATCCTAATGAGTACCACCATACCTTGTAAGCCACCTCCACCACGAAGCATCACGAAGATAGAGAGCAGGCAGAAGGAGCAGTTGAGCTGGTCCATGTAGCCCTCCTTCACCCATTCGCTCTCCTCGACCAACTTGTTGAGGAGGTCGTGGCGATGCGCGAAGGCGAAGAGGCAGAGGTAGGAGAGGTTAGAGGCGGAGGTGAGAGAGAGATGGACCACCACGTCATAGGTGCGGCGGATGGGGGCTCAAGAGAGGACGAAGATGCCCAAGAGGAGGAAGAGGGACAAAGAGACCACTACGTGGCTAGCATCGAACTTGTCGACGCACATCCACCTGAGGCAGGACCGGAAGCTCCCGAGCTCGTCGTTACCGCAGGAGAGGCTACGTGTGTATGACACCTTGCTAGGCAGCAGTGGCTCGGTACTGTTGTTGGTGGTCGCTTCTACGACGATGCCTCCTCTCGCCATTGATGGAGGTCTCAGTTTTTTTTTTTAACTTAAATTACACGTGTCATTATATTAATGGTTTATTATGAGTCAGCATGCTACGTAAGCAGACTCTAACGTCTGTTAACTCAGACTTGATGAAAGAGACTTATATGCTATGTTTTTTAAAATGTAAGGATTATGTTAGACATAAATAAACCATAAGGGTTTAAGAGGTTCATGATCAAAACCATAGATGTTAAAATTGACCTTAACCCATAAAAAAAAATATATAATATGGACACAACAAAGCAGCAATAGTAAATATAATGAAGCTGCAAGAAAGGCAGGTAAACCAATCAAATATAGCAGCACCATAACAGAGAATAGAATTAGAAGGACTAGTAAAGCAAAAAAAAAACGTATTACATAGCTAAAATTAAAAGGAGAATTGTTCCTTTCTTTAATTCCTTCCATTTGCAATGATTGAGAATATTTTAATAGAATAAACATTAAAGCAAAGGGATCTAATTTTTATGAAATAATTTAGTATTATGTGGTCTTCTTTGTGGACCTTTATTTCTTTGATGAGGTGCACAATAGGCATGCCTTGGTGAAGCCATTGGGAAACAACATAAAGTTAGAACCTTGGTAGCTTCATGCCTTTTATAACGTTGAGGGGTATCATGATCTTGGAACTAGTATTTAGTATGGAATTACATAAAAGTTAACCCCATATGCCCTAGCTTTCAGGTGACATTTTGATCAATAGAGTTCCATTGGTAATTCCAAATAGTGTGCTGGAATATTCATGATACTGATTTTTTGGGTTAATTTTCTTCCTGTGTTATAATCAATTTGATTTGTTAGTTTACCAATGGTGTTTTCCTTCTGGTTTGGTTTATCTAATTTCAGTTCTTCTAGCTTTTGTAAATCATTTATTTGAAGATTGAAGCTCATAAGACTAACTGTTGCTTATATGTGCAGGAAGTAATAAGGAAATACATCAAAGGTCATGGATATGAACATGCTGCTCTTGCAAGTACCTTGGGATGCCTGACGTGGGAAAAGCCTTCATATTCCGACTATCAATTGCTATCTAGGTATTGCTTTTTAGTAATTACGACAAGTTCAACTTCCTATTATTACATAGAACATCTTCTGTTGATTTCTATTCGCTAATGTCATGATAAGATATATGCTACAATCTCATCCTCTTATGCAGTTTTTTTTTAAAGAAAACTATCAACCAATTAAGTAGGTGGGACATCAGAAGTTCCCAAAATTACAAAATTCTCCTCCGAGCTTGCAGGAGAGTGAAAAAGCCTTGCCTGATTGTACTAGTTTTCTTAAGACGATGACAAGTTTAAATAGGACTAGTTTGAATATTGACAAAGTTTGAATAGGAGAGAGCAAAAAAGCAATGATAAAGTTTGAATATGTCAAGACATAAACTGCACAGATACCATGGTATAGGACTAGTTTTGTTACAAAGTTTCATAGCATCCATGGACTAGTTTTTCTGTCATTCAATTGGACATTTTTTTCTTGAGTTCATTTCATTTAATCTTAATTAAGAACTGAAACCTGAGGAGCATGTAATGCAATTGAGTTGACCTTTTTATCGCCTTTTTTTGGTTTTTGTTTTCCAGAGAGAGTGAATATGCTGCATGGACACTTGTCAATGGTTATGCATTGAACCATGTCACTATTTCTACTCACCGGCTGAAGTCACATATCAGAAAAATTGACAGCTTTAACCAATATATTGAAGCTAATGGATTTAAGTTAAACTCTGAAGGAGGAATCTTAAAAGGTTTGCAACTAGCTATACTTGCCTTCAGTTGATGAATTGTATGATATAATTAGTTACCTTGACTTGATGGATGCCTGATATCAGTTGATGAATTTTTTTTCTTATGGAATTTGAAATAATTACCAATAAGAACTGTGTTAAAGAAACTAACAGTATGCTAAACGTGTGCATTCAAGATACTACTCATCATGTAAAACATGGTATCATTTTAGATAAGTTTGTTGTATATCATGCCTGTAAAGTGTATATATTCTGTATAAAGCAAGCAATTACTTCCAGTTGGAAGCTTGACCTGGATCTCGCATTTTAAAGTGCATGCTCAATTCATTATGCCAATGAAATATGTGTCATCCCTCCTCGTAGGAAGTAAATGACTCCTTAAGGACAGTATTATCTTGATTTGAGCCCCTACTAACCAACTAGAAATCCTTCCACTGGAAAAGAAGAGTTGCTTTTACTAATAATTTATTGATGAGAGGGCCCTTCTTGTATACCGGGTTATATGCTTTCTGAATCAAGTCTTGAGCTGATATTTGCTTGATCCACTAATCAGTTTATTTCTTAAGAGATCTATTTCTTGCATACCGAAGCAGACTTTTGCAAAACCTTACCCCCATGATAGAAATAGCAGACCTGCTATTAGTTGATTGCTTGTGTGTCAACACTTGTGATTTCTTGGTTATGTATGTCTGCATTTATAAAGACCATGACACCATTGGAGAAACCAAGATATTGAGTCTTCTATTTTCTCTTTTCTGAACAGTGAGCCCTGATAGCCTTCTACTGCAAAGTTCAACTGTTGCTGATACCATCTCCTTCGACTTTGCTGATGGTGTAACCGAGTCCGCCCCTTGTTCATACATCGAGTTTGCAGAACGTCTTTTGCTTCCTGAATACAAAAATATACCTGATGAAGAGGTATGGATCTGTCAGTCTTTATTTTTCGCCAATTTTAAACATAATTTTGGGGATATTGATGGTTAAACTCAAAATTGTATTTGCATTTCATTAATTATCAATTTATATTAAGATTGCAAGATCACAAAGGAGAAATTATGGATCAATTTCTCTATTTAAAAGATGACATCAGGTTGGCAGACAGTGCGGATTAGAACTTGCTAGCCTAGAAGCTTCCGTATACTATTTGTGCTACTGAACACTCATATAAAGTGAAGTTCTAATATTTGAAAGCTTGGTCAGATGGTGTGGGTTACATCTTTTAAGTTTTTCTAATGATTTTTTTACATGTTAGATTATCCTTGAAGTTCCATCATCCTTGTATTGCCACACTCGAGACTTTGTGGAATACCTTGACTCTCAGTATTGTGGTAGTCAAACTTTTTCCAAGACAAATTCCAATTGGAAAAAGAAAGACATGCTATGTTCCATCTATATATGGTTAAAGTTCGACCGGCCCAGCGCCATTCGATGTTGTGACTGTTCTGATCATCTTGGTCAGAACTCAAATGATTCATTGTGATCTTCTTGCAACATCCTGTAAGTGCACTAACATTTTGGCCATAATATGCTTACTTAGCTTGTAATAATGTTTGGTAAAAGACTTCCAATAAATGACAATTCACAAGAATCCTACTAACTTCTACAGCTTTACAATTAAAGGTATGCAGTCGGTAACCCACTAACATGGTATAATTAGATTTTTTGGATCCTGTTCTGTGTTCATGATACCGTATTTGTTGGCATTATTGTGGTTCCGTATTAAGTACAACATATGTTTATCTGAATATTCAAGGATTCCCTTGCATACAATATATATCTTCCTTTTTTTCTCAAAGTTTTTATCCTATTAATTTCTACAGCTCTCTGATTAAGGTATGCACTCGATGACCGGCTAACCTGGTGTAACTAGAATTTTCTTGATCCTGTTCTGTGTTCATGATACTTTATATGTTGGCATTATTGAGGTCCCATAATAAATACACCACATCATTTATCTTAACACTAAAGGATTCCCTTGCATATCTTTGTAGGTTAAAGAATTCCATAGGCGTGATGGTTTTGAAGTAGGCAATGCTGACAAGATCTTTGAAAGCACTTCAAGAGATCAAGTAACAAGGAAATCTGCTTGACAAATGAATCTGGAAATCTGCATGAGTACATGGGACTATCTAATGTGGGTATAATCTTTTGCATATACAGATTCAATGAATTTACAGATCCAATGGTTTTAAGGGATGATATTCAATTTCATTATATCCTACTTGTACCAAAAGATATATTACATGTTCAACCAAATGATTTATAAACAGAAAGGAAGAATAGTATAATTTGGCTTTCTGTGATTTTTGATGATGGCTCTTACCAGTAACAGTAACAAATGATATCGCTTGGGCTGTCAATCTTCCAGCAGGTGACTCATGCCTTCCGATCTTATTTTTGGGAGAGGTGCTCGATGTTTGACATCTTAACATAGTATTGAAATGGTCAATTAAATTCGAGAAGTTTGACATCTGATATCGAACAATCACTAAAGCCCATACATTAGCTGACTTTATCACAGAGATGTCCAACTCCACACCGTGTTGTCTGCTCTTGCTCCTCTCGTGTTACTTTGCATCTTCATTTGTGTCTCATCTGAAATTATTTTTTAACCCATTATTTTTATATCATTTATACATATATTATTATATATTATATTTTTTATAAATAAATAAGATTAATTATTTTACTTTCATTATTTTAAAATATTTTACTTTCATTGCTTTTAAAATCTAAGAATCGATATGCTAAAATCAAAATCAGACTGTATAATTAGAACCAACGGTTGGTTACTGCACCAGCCGGGAATCGAACCCGGGTCTGTACCGTGGCAGGGTACTATTCTACCACTAGACCACTGGTGCTATTAATTATTTTAAGAGTATATAGATGACTGGTACTATTCTACCACTAGCCTGCATTCATCACTTTTTCTCTTGAATATATTTATATTCATAATACGTGGAATAGTATCGGGTATAAATAAACTATTATGTAATATTTCTTTCGTCAATATCTTAAGCTTTGCTAGAATCTGAAATAAATTATAAGTGTAATAAGTATTATCGATATTAAATACCCATGTACTATTATAAAAATATGATAATTGAAGACTAATTATTAATGTACCTAAAGCTTCAATATCACCCTCTTTACAAGTTACTCTTTGCGGTACTTCTTCTAGTGTTCATCTTTATCATAGTGGATATATTGGCCTTTGTCATTTGTCGGGTCTTTCTTAGCAACCTTTACTTTTACCTGGTTTGCCCTTACCCTTGCCCTTCTTAGGGGACTTTTCTACCTTTCTTTTATTTCTAGTCTCACTAGTATAGAGATCTGGCTTCTTTTTTTTATCATACTTTCTGTCTCCCTTAACATATTGAGGAGCTTAAGAAAAGTCATCTTAAGCTTGTTAATATTAAAATTCATTATGAACTATGAAAAAAATATGGTATGGATTGAAGCATAAGATCCACACACAAGTTATCCTCTATGATCATTCCTAGACCTATGAGTTTCTCTGTCAACTCAATCATCTTTAGGACATGGTTCTGAAATGGTGTCCCTTGAGTCATCCTGGCACGGAAGAGACTCTTGGATATCTTATATCGTTGAGTCCTTCCCTATTCCTCGTACAATTTGCGGACATGTAAGAGAATGGATTTGACATCCATTTTTTCATGTTGTCTTTGTAACTCAAGAGTCATGGAGTCCAACATGTAACACTGAGCAAAAGTGGATTCATTTATATACTTCACGTAACGAGCGATCTCATCCTCGCTTGTCCCTTCCTCGAGCGTAGGCATCATTGTTGAATCTCGTATTTTGATGATGAAACCACTTGATATGTGTTTATGTTTTAATCTGCGTTTTGAGTCACGCAGGATGCTTCGATCAGGATGAGACAATTAAAGCAAGAAAAATCATGTTGTGCCGGAGGAACATGTCAGAAGATTGGACGTCGGGCTAGTGGATCGGTCAACGTATCGACAGAAGGCTTCGTGCCATGGACTCGGGCATCGGGCCAAGGAGAGCGGGTATTGTGCTAAGGATATCGGAGTTGTAGAGTCAATTGTCCGATTGGGCAATAGGTCGCAAGAGAGGACGATGCGCCGAATAATCAGACAAAGCATCGAGGGACCAATGACATGCTGGACAACTTGGTTATTTGCTTAGGATTAATTGTCTCGATCAAAGTTTTGTTTTACATGTGCAAGATTAACTACGATGGAAGTAAGACATGCAGCAGGAGTTACACCGGAGTCAAGACTATGATCACGTTGAGAGTTCGAGAGTTCGACGGAAGTCCGGATGGTCGTCAGAGGTTCTGCGGGAACAAATCCGAGAAGTTTAGGAGATTGCCAAAGAAGCTTGTCAGAACTCGCCAAGTGGATCGTCACAAGTCCAAGAGTTTGCTGGAAGTCCGCCGGAGCATCGCCGAAGGTTCATCAGATGTTCGCTGAAAGTTTGCCGGAAGCTCGCCGGAAGAAGCGATAGATGCACCGGAGCAAGTTGCAGTAAATGTCTTAAGAAATATCGTAGTTAGCATGTAAATTAAGTTAGGAATGGGAGGTAATTCCATTAACTTAATTTGGGGGCAATTGAGCCCTTGATAGACCCAAATTGGGCCGAATGGATCAGCCCATTCGGACCAGAATTCCTGTTAGGCGGTGGCACCGCCCAGGAGATGGTCTCCCAGGAAAGTTAGGCAGTGCAACCGCCCTAGTCAGGCGGTGGCACCGCTTGGGCTCAGTCTCCGAGCGAGACTGGGCAGTGCAACCGCCCCTGTCAGGCGGTGGCACCGCTTGGGCTTAGTCTCCGAGTGAGAACCGCCCCTGTCAGGCGATGGCACCGCCCAGAGGTTCAGTCTCCGAGTTGCCAGACGATTGTATCGCCCCAGTTAAGAGGTAGTACCGCCAGGACCCCGGAAATTCGAGAGGTGACATTTTTTAGCTCTCAATTTAAACTAGTTTGGGGCCTATATATACCCCACCCTTTCCTGCATGAAAGGGTAACCAAAAGGCACCGAAACTCCAATCTTACTCTGTAATTTTTAGAGCTCAAAAGTGTTATAAAGGCTAGAAGTTCTCCTCCCTCTTTTCTTCCAAGTTTTGATCTTTCAAGAGAGGAGAAAATTCTGTAAGGGTTGTCTCCTAAACCCGTCAAAATGAATGAAACTGTAAAAGGGTGGTTGGCCTTCGCCTATTGAAGGAAGGCCTCTAGTGGACGTCGATAAACTCATCGGAGGAGGAAGTCAAAAGTGGATGTAGGTCAAGATTGACCGAACCACTCTAAATCTCGGTTTGCATTTACTTTCTATTCTCTATCTTAACTGCAAACTGCCTCCATAGCTTTACTTTAACTGCACTTCGCCTAATCTAAGTTAAAGCAACTTCTGAATCGGCTTTCATACGGAAATCGCTTTTATCGTACGAACGTCGTATTTCGGTTTGCAATTACTTTCTGTTCTCTATCTTAACTGCAAACTGTTCTCTTGATTCTAACAATCACTATATCAAGGACATATGCAATTTTCTCCGTCATGAGAACAATTCTCAAGTTACAGAGCCAATACATAAATAAATAATATATAATTTTATAAAAAAAATAAATAAATAATATATGAACTTTTATTATGCTCCCGTTATTTTTCTAGCTGTCCGAATTAGCTTCCTATTACCTCGAATGGGGATGGCGACCGCATCTACAAGAAAAAACCAGAAACCACAATTTACTGCACCAGCCGGGAATCGAACCCGGGTCTGTACCGTGGCAGGGTACTATTCTACCACTAGACCACTGGTGCTGTTGAGTATATTTGGAGTGTATATGTATATATACATATATATATAAGTTGTTCAATTTACAATATCACATTCCTATTCACCTCATCTCATTTCCTCTTAAATACACTTATATTCATAATATATGGAGTAGTATCTAGTATAAATAAATTATTATATAATATTTCTTTTGTCAATCTCTGAGCTTTGCTAGAATCTGTAATAAATTACAAATGTAATAAGCACTTATAAAAATCTAATAATTAGAGACTAATTATGAATATACCTAAAGCTTCTATTTCATCCTCTTTACAAGGTACTCTTGTGCTTATAAAAATCTAATAATTAGAGACTAATTATGAATATACATAAAGCTTCTATTTCATCCTCTCTATAAGGTACTCTTTGTAGTTCTTCTTTCATTGTTCATTTTTGTCATAGTAGATGTATTGGCCTTTGTCCTTTGTCAGGTCTTTCTTAGCAATTTTTGTTTTTACTCGGTCTGCTCTTACTTTTGATTTTCTTAAGGGATTTTTCTAGTCTCACTAGTATTTTTTATACGATTTTCTTCGTTATGAGAACAATTCTCAAGTTACAGAGCCAATTCATATACTTTGAACCACTGAGACAGTTGACATCAAATATGCCATATAAGGGATTTGAAAGCGACATATTTCTAATAAACAGGAGATGTTTTATAAAAAATAAATAAATAATATATGCACTTTTATTGCTTCGACTATTTTTCTAGCACCGAGCGAACACGGGAGAGCTGCCGCATTTACAAGAAAAAACCCAAAAAGCAAAATTCACTGCACCAGCCGGGAATCGAACCCGGGTCTGTACCGTGGCAGGGTACTATTCTACCACTAGACCACTGGTGCTGTTGTTTTGTATTTGTGATTATATTTATATATATTATATATTAATTTCATCTTTTTGCAGTGTATAATTGCACTGGAGAGCAGTGCGGGTGCTTCGCCGGTGAGGAAGAACTGAGAGGCTTCGCCGACAGAGAGCGCTCGGTGAAGAAGAGATGAGGTCGCCGATGAGAATCACTGTTGTTCCTTGCCAAGCAACGACGGCAGTGATGGGCAGCAAGGGGATTAAGAGTTATCGGCGTTCGAGATGGCTCATTAGAGCAAAGCCTCGATATGCTGTTGAGAGGCTGGACAGCGAGGAGGGAGAAGACATCGTCAGTGATGGCCTAGAGAAGCAGGTCTATTCTGTTGGCGAAAGAAGAAGTGGAAGGAAGAAGAGGTGAAGCCGGCTGTTTGTGTTTCACGGCGCGGCGTGAAATGTCGTTGTCGTTTATAGTGAAGCCGACTGTGAGAAGCGCTCCAGCTTTGGTTATATAAGCTCTCAGATTCGCATATCTGGGCAGTTCTCGAAGGTGTTGTTGAGCTGACAGTTCGTGGGTTCAGTTTATGGTGGACTTTATCAATTGCCCATACCTCTTTTTAATCTAACCCTAGATCAATATAAGAGAAATATGGTAACTACGT